GTTCATGTACATTTTTTCGGTACCCTAAAAATTAATATTTCTCTCTAGCGACATATGAAATGTATATCGATTATTCAGCGTTTTTCTGAAATCGTTCTCTAATCTATGACGAATCATCAGATGGTTTCGGTGTAACATATGAAAGATTTCAGGATAGGGCTTATCTCCGGAGACTATATTTCGGAAATTCATAGGAATTTGAAATTCAGTATAAAACCAATCTTCATTTCTGAGAATTATGGGCAGAATTAGGAAAGAGGGAAATAAAATTGATTAACCACATGATAATAGAGAAAAAATTTTCTCTCTTAGAACCGGAGGTATTTAGGAAGTGATGTTCAAGATAATTTATTGCCGGGTCAAAGGAATAACAATGCATGAATTGACGAAAGAGCCGGTTCTGGGATCATAATTTTCATCGTATTGTAATAAGAAGAACCAATCAGACCGTCTAAAAATGACAAACATCCGCCAAAGGAATAATGTAAAGAAATAGTTTAACTTTTTAAACCCATTATTTTTGTTAAAGATATCAAAAGTTGTTTATGCATGAATTGAACGAACTAACTGATTATTGCTTGTTATGTGAATTCCGAGATCGTTGATGTCCCACGATAATATATATGTGAGTGAGTTGATAATGATGTCATTAATAGACATAGTATCAGATAATTAATAACCAAGCATATTAATTATAATAATAGACTGAAATATTTTATAATTAGCAGCTCTTCATTCAAAATCATCTGAAAACTATCTATACTATTCTCCCCAGTTCATATTCATCCTATTCCTGGATTAGTTATTGTATGAATCGCTAAAAACAGAAAACAAGAAATCGTAAAAAAAAAACGATAAAGTTTTAATGACTAGCACTGCAAAGAAGCTCAACGTTAAACAGAATCGCCATTTGGTTTCATTCTCATCTTATTTAAAATATACAACTATAGAAAACCGTAAATGAGTACTCAAGCTAAATACATCTTCGTGGATTTGTGTTTTTATGCGTGTGCATGTATGTATGAACACGACACGCTTCTGATCCTCTTTTTTCTTTTGTATTACTGCTCGATTGATAAACAATGTAAGAATGTACACCACACGAGAGATAAAAAAAATTGAATTCGAAGCAACTATTCTAATGAAACCTTTTGATGCTGTAAAAAATATTTCTTGCTATCGTTATTTTGTCATTTATTCTTTTATTGTCTTTTATTCCATTTCTCGATTATTCTTAGGAATTTTCCTCAAAATATAATTAGGCACGCACAAATTTAAAGGGAAATTCCATCAATGAGAATAAAGTTTTGACTTGAACATGGCATGAAAATGTAACAATAAATAATTATTTTAATCTGTTTTGGACCCTTAACGCCAGAAATCAATAAACATCCACCAAATAAAGCAAGATATACACCAGATTTAGAAATTATTACGGTGTAGTAATAAAATTTTTTACAATCATGAAATGATTAATCTTAACAAACAAACAAAAATAAAAAAATACAAATAAGCAAAAAGCAAGCTAACTAAAATTATCTTAGAGCATGCTGATAAAAATCTGGTGATGATGTGCACTTTAAGAAAATGAATATCTGTAAAAAAAAGAGTGCAAGGATAAAGCCGGAAAACCATTCTAAAACATGTTTATGCCATTTTAAAATCATAAATCCTTTTTCCTTTCATTAAATCACCATATTATTTATTATATCACTGATCAGGTTAGTGAAACAATAATCCCAGTCCCTTACATAAATGTGTGATAGCATGGAGGAAGAGTGTTACATAAAAAGGACGTATGCATAATATTTGTCCGCATTATTTATTATATTATTTGCTTGATGCATATTTATTTGATTGTTTGTCTGACAGTTTCAATACATGACGATACACAAAATGGTAAAAACGAGTACCGTAATAGAGTCACGAAAAAAGTGGGGTTAACGACTCTGATGCAGGCTGGCTTTAGCGTTACATAACCATTCTGTGTAGCTTGCCGATAAAACAATATTAGATTTTTGATAACATGAATGCCAGCTAGAAACTTTACTTTTATTTCATAACTCGAGTGACAAGTCATCAGGGTTATTTGGGGGTGAGGGATAAAAGTTTCACAACTTCCTTTGTTAAATAAAAAAAGATTCAATGAGCATTTTTATAGATGAGAATTCTACAGTGGCACCCCGATGCCCTTTTTTATGTAATGGTCGTTGTATCAACCGGATAAAACCGGTTTTCAATTATGGTACCCTCGCTAATCTGGTTGAATTCTTGTTTTTGGCCGTTTTAGAAATACTCGTTTTTCTTGTGCAACAAAAGTAAAAAATTGCGAACATATACATATAAAATAAAAATTTGGTGATATTAGAAAAACCGAAGAAAAAACATAAAAACAATTGGTTGAATGTCGAGTTTCACTGAATTCTAATTCTCTTTGAAAATTGCGGGGTTTATGCGATGCCATCAATTACTAAACCTTACAGTATTTGCATGGAGCTCATGATGTGATGTGGTGTATGTATTTGGTTACCGAATCCAACGGAGAGTTCTCGGAGGCTCATGTTCATTTAAAAATAGAAAATTAGAGTCAAAACATGACAATAAATATAATATATTGTATGCATTTTAAAAGGTGATTATCGCGTATAATGGATGACGTTTGACAAAGGCGCGGATGAAAACTGAGGAGAGGAGACCGGTCCTTTTTTTAATTTTGTCGCAGCAATGATAAAGCAGAAACCTTTATCAATATCATTACATCACCTCTTTGATTCGCTTTTTCTTCATGGAAAAGTGTCTCGAGGTTTTTTAAGGTGTGTGTGACTTAATTATCGACACTTATCGAAAGTCAAAATTTCAAATTTTTTCGGTGAAAACCACCGGGATTGGTGCTTTTGCGCAAAAAATTTAATTTCGTTGATTATGGTAATTAAAGATTTTAGATTTTTACACAAATTCTGGTTTCTCCTTTGTGTCTGTTTGATAAATTAAGCTTATTGTTTATTTTTTGGTGCATGTATCGAAATTTAATCATAAAAAATAATTAAACTTTTAATTATCAAAGCTGTTTATTGCTCGTTACGACAACACGCTGAAACATTCTGTCCAATTGATTCATCCATTCATTCATCACGTATATCAAAAAGATTCAACGCGAGCTTAAAATTCATTGAAATAGGTTTCATCTATTTGATAATGAACTTTTCCGTATCATATTGGTCAAATTTAATTTATGCATACCTAATAAATGTACTGATGTGCATTGTATGTGGTTCGTTACAAAAGTTAATCTAACAAAGCGAGAAAATGATTTATTACTTACGATTTTTACTAATGAAGATACTGCTGCACAATTGAATTTCCAAACATACACAGAACTGCAAAATCTTCCGGGCGCGTGTGTGTTCATGTGTATAATTTGAAATTCCATTATCTACGTGTTCACATTCGCACACAAGCACTTAATTATGTGCATGCAATGTGCAATTCTAATATAGGCATTAATTATGTTTGAATTATTAGTGTTTAGCAGTGGAAGACGGGATAGTGGTGCTTGACAATTAACAATCGAAAGATATTTCGTCACGATACATAATGTAATTTATCGGCACACGAGAAATCGATACTTTGAAATGTACAAGATTCGTTATACGTTTTACTACGCTTTTTTAGAAAATGACATAAGCTTTTTTTTCTTGATTAAAATATTTTCCTTTTAAAATTAAAAACGTGTATCTTTTCCAATTTGCGTGAAAATATTTTGTGCGCTGCGCGTAATTAGATTTGTCTTGTTCAAACGCTTCTTGCTCAAACCACCTTTCGATTATTTGTTTACTGTTATTTGTTTATCCTTTGCTTTTTACAGGAAAAATTACCAATAGACGCATTAATTATTTTTTGCACGTTTTTTTTGAATATGTCAAAAAATTTTGCCGGCCCCTCGATGCACGCAAAATAATTAAATGCAATAATTGATAAAGAAATATACATGCCTTTTTCGTTAATTGTATTTCCTTAAAAGGATTGAAGCAACAAAGGCGTATTTTTCTTTTTTTTTTGAATTCTCGTTATCAGCTCACAACCTTCTTTTTTCGTGAAATTGCCATTTTTAGTTCCTTCCCGTGCGTTAATTAAAATCGCAGGTAATTAGGAAATTCCAATGTGTAATTAATATAAACGTTTCCTCCTTTGGCGCGCATACATGAATCAATCACAGCGTACAAGAACGCATACCTTAAAAACACTTCATTAGTAAAAATGATGATGATGCTTCTTTATTTACACATTGATTAAATTAACTTACGCAATATCAAATAGTGTATCAGCTTTCTTTACTTTGAAGGAAAACGTGATTAACCCATAATATTATGTTTTTTCCTTTTTTTTAACGTTTGTGTTGCCTGATGTTGTATTTGGTATTATAGCGCACGGCTGCGTATTTGATTGGTGTTTCTCTTACCATTGTTGATGTCAATCGCAAATCGCTACTGATAATATTGTTTGTGATGATTGTAAATTTGTTTCTTCGAACTGTTTTGGACGTTGAAAGTCGATCTTTGATCAAGTGATGTTTTCCTTGTTTTACTGGTTTCTCGAAAACCTTTTTTTTCCGCTTTAATTTCTTCCGTAAATCATATGAGGTTCGTACATTACATCGCATCGCTTCTAATTCATATGCATTTCATTTAACTCTTTAGAGGAAAAAATCGAATAAAAGAAAAAGGTTCGAGCCATGGTTATCCGAGGATATGAATGGAAACTTGTTTCGAAACGCGAGTGGTCAATAGACCCCTTCTTTACTTGCTCGGGCCAGAATATTTTTTCGCCAACTTTGTGCAACCAATCCAAATATGTTATAGAGAGGAAACACACGCAACCTCTAAAAATTGTTCTAAAAGCATCCTTTCCTCACCCCTATTACTTTCTCTTTATAAATCCTGTTTGTTGTGTCAATGGATCTTTGCACGTGTCAAGAAAGAAGGGACACGAAACGTGCACAATTATAAGATTTTAGATACGGTGCCCTGGTACGCCTATACATGATAAATAATCGCGTGTATGTGTAATTTTATTATATATTATTATACAGTATGATACAAATGCACAAAAAATACTACCTCTCCTCGATCTAAATCACGCAATACAGTATGACCGAAAAGTTGTGCGTAAACATGTGGTAGAGTGAAATAATGAGTCTTGGTGGGTCGTCCGGGCTTCCACTACAAGATCGAAAAAAGGGAATATATATATATATATATATATATATGCTATATTTAAGAACACGAAAGGATAAATGCTTAAAGATTTAATTTTAATGCATATAAATAATGAAGCACTTTTTAATCTTAGATCTTGATACGTTTATCTCAATTATAAGCGGTAAAATGCGAGTTGGGAAAACCGAAAGTTTATGAGTGTATGTTTCCGTGTACGCCACAATACTTGCATCGCTTCCTCTTTACTGATTATATAACGATTTGGCGAAATCTTAATGAAATTACTGTAATAGGCAAGGTATAAAAGAAGTTTTTAATATTGATATTTCGAGATTACAAATAAACTTAGCCAAAAATGTTAATTTTAAATTGAACTTAAGACTTTTGAATGGACGCAATAACCGCCCAAATGTGCAACAAATCTAATCAAGTTTTAGTTCTCATGACGATTTATTTATTACTTGTTTGACAAGATTACTTCCGGAAATTTCTTTTAAAGTTTTACAAACATGTAATTCAAAATTGTTTTGCAAACTTAAATTCATATCTTTGGTATTCTAAGTTCTTCATCAAATAATTTAGAAAAGAAACGAGAAAGCTGATATTTTTAATCAAACACTCTATTTAAAAGGTGCGTTGAAAATTAATAGATCTTTTTTAAAATTCACATACATGTAAGAATTGAATTTATTAATTATAAAACATTGAAGTTTATAATGTTTAAATTAGCACATAAACATAGTAATAGTTCTTGATACATGTATTTAGCTAGCATTATTTTAATGAAAATCTTAAAAGTTTTATTTTTCAGATTTTATCTTTCAATAAATAAAGATGTGCCTGAAACCGGAAATTTCAAAAAAAATTTTCTCAGAATATGCTCTGCTTCTTAACCTTACACTTAGTATATTCGAAAATTAATTATGCAAACACATATTTATGTAATGGAATAATCAAATAATAGATCTTTATGTATATTGGTAATGATTTCGTTTTCTTCAAAAATATTGTTATGGATATACATCTGAAAGTTATAATGAAGATCAGCTAAACAAAAATAGAAATATGTTCTGTGGGGATCCATTGTAACGAGAATTGTAACATTAAGAAATCAATAATAATACTTTTTGCTGTATTATTGTGAATTCTTAATCTAATTTTTCATGATGATTTTTTTTCAAAATATTATGGATTGATGTATTCTTAAGGTTTTTATTGTTATTGAGTAATAATGTTTTGTCATGTTGGAATTCCAAATTAGTATTTGTGAATATTTGTCATCCCAAAATTTCCATGTATCTTTTCATGTTTTAAGTGTTTTTTAATCTTCTGTGCATGTTATATTAGGGGGAGGATGATGTTGAATAGATATCAGAAGGATAAGCTCATGTGAAATGGGAATCAGATGACTAACTATTCGAAATTATTTTCTAATAATAAAGATGAGTGTTTTCCAATTAACTTGGAGTTATGCCAGTGCAGATTTAAAAATGAATTATGATTGGCAACTGAACAATAAACCAATTTCATGTCTTTATGAAACAAAAAACTTTCACTGCTAGAGAATTCTCGGATGCACAAATTTTCTTATCTAATTAATGTTCTGAATATTTCAACTACCAGTGTCATTTTGAGGTTTTTTTAGCTCATTCACGAAGTGACCTTAGTACATCCTTAAGTCCAAGGTCAGAAGATTTTTGAGCATTTTGACTATGCAGAAATGTGCACAGCATATGAGACATACTTTTTAAACATATTAAGTCCAGGGTCATTTGATGATTTTTTGAATACGTATTTAGATTATGCAGAGAGCTTCTTAAAAATGTGCACGTATAATGAATGCATTTAATTTACCATGCTTTATAAAAATATTTTCCATATGGGAAAACCTGTCCATATATGGAGAATCTTGCTACGTTGCAATCGTCAGAAACTGTGTTACATTACAAAGCGATAACCGATAGATTTATTCTTAAATTTTTCAATGGATATCAAATGCTTTAAAGCGACTGAAGGATAGAATGATTCAATTGCTGTGTAGTTTTTGTATAAAAAGCGAATTTTTACTAGTTCCTACTCTTCAAAAAAAAAGAAAAAAAACATATTCAAAAAAACATTAAAAAAAACACAATTCTACCTTTAAAAAAATAAACATGAATAATATCGAAAATATTGAATATTTATCAGGAGATGAAAAAAAGCTTCTGAAAAAATGTCCTTATGTTCTAACTCTTACAATCGAAGAATTAACAAAGCCTGCCAAAAAAAATCATAATAATTATGATAAACAACCAAGGCCACAAAATAGTTGGATCATTTTTCGAAAAGATTACGAAGCTAATATACGTCTACGTAATCCTGATGTTAAACAAACGGTTAAACATACTGCAAAGGAATGCAGCTTGAAATGGAAATCACTATCAAAGGAGGTTAAGCATTTTTTTAAGATATTGGAGAAAATAGCTTGTGAAAATCATAAGCGTATCTATCCTAATTATAAATATAAGCCAAAAAATGCAAAAGGGTCCAGCAATAAGAAATTTGTCTTTCGGGAACAGAAAAAATATATATTTACTTCTCCAACCGAATCTAGCGCAATAAATCTCAATGACATTACAAACAATGCCATTGCTCAAAGTTCGAACAATAACGCGTTATTTGAAACCGATTTTTCCTTCACCGAAAATGACGATAATAAGACTAACAACAAAAATGATAATAACAATAATATAGATATGTATGATGCTCTTTTTGATGAACTTATTACTTGCGAGCCAGATGAAAGTATTCAATTATAGTTGATCTTGTTGCAAGCATCATTTTTTACATTTTATAGTATAATATTATAAAAAAAGTTTATAATTATATATAATTTATTTTAATTATATTAATTTTCTTATCTGAGTAAGATATACTTATTAAAATAAAAATATTTAATAAATTAAAAAATTATTATTTTTGAATTTGAGTTTTTTATGTAATTAAAAATAATATATATTTTATAATTTTATTTAATATATTATATATACAGAGAATAAAAAGAAATATTAAATATTTCACATATTTTTAAATTAATTTATCTTGATAATTATTTTATAATAAATTATTTATATATAGTAATGATTTATAATTAAAATAAATTTTATTTTTATATAACATATTTAGAAGTTATAAAGCTATACATAATTTTTTCTCAAAAAATTACTTTTTAAATTTTATTATATGATATATTATGAAAATAAATTAATAAAAAATTAGAGAGATAAAATTATTATTGTAAAAAAACTTGATCATATATATACTAAAATCTCTAAGATTGTAAATTATTCTGTAATTCACATATTAAAAGTACATAAGCTTAAAAAATTATCTAAAAAATAATTAGATTATTTATAAAAAGGAAGTTGAAAGAAATATTGAAAGATTTTTTTTTAATTAATTTTATTTATTTATAGAAGATTTTGATATTTATTTATTTATAAAATGATTTAAATATTTATATTATGATTCTAATACTTTATATGATCTAAGAAAGAGTTTAATAGTAAGAATTTTTATTTTAAATTACTAAAGTCTTGAGATAATTATATATAAGTTTATTATGAATTGATAGATAATCTGATTATTTTTTAGATCATTTTTTAAGCTTATATACTTCTAACATTTAGATTATAAAACAAATTATAGTCTTAAAGATCTTGATATATATATAATTAAGTTTTTTTATAATAATAATTTTATTTTTATTAATTCTTTTTTATGATATATCATGTTGTAAAATTTAAAAAATGATTTTTTAAGAGAAAATTATACATAACTTTATAATATCTAGATATATTATATAAAGATAAGATTTATTTTAATTATAGATTATTATTATATATAAATAATTTATTATAAAATAATTATCAAAAAAAATATAAGATCTAATGATATATATTAATTTAAAAATATGTGAAATATTTAATATTTCTTTTCACCTTTTATATATATAATTTTAATTATAAATTTTAGAACTTTTCTATATAATTTTTTATTTATAATACTATATAAAGTTACTTATTTTTGAAATTTTATAATATTAATTTATATTATTACTATAGTAATATAAAGATTCTTAATTTCTTAATCTTTTTGTGGTTATGTAAAATTACATTTTCTTATAATTTTCATTTATTTCATAATTATTCTTATTTTTACATCATATAATTATTTCTTATTACTATATTTATTATTATACTTTTATATTTAAATATTATATTTTATTTATATTTGAGATTTATATTTTTATATTACTTGTAATATAATACTCATATATATAGTAGAGTAGTATAATAGAAGATTATTTTTAATTTTGATAGAATGATTACATATTAATTACAGATAATTTTCTATAACTTCTGATAACTTTTCATGACTTCTGATAACTTTCTATAACTTTTTATAACTTTTAATAACTTTTCATATCTTTTTATGTACTTTAATAACTTTTTACATTTTTTAATAACTTTTAACATCTTTTAATATATACATTTCTAAAATTTATATTATAGTACTTTAAATTATAATATGTATATTAGATAATATTAGTTAGATAAAGATAATATCTATTATTATAAAATAATTAATTAGTTTTTTTTTATTTTATCTATTCTTATTAACTAATAAAAATAATTACTTTAAAAATTAAAAATCTTTATTATATTAATTTAAAAAAATTTATAAAGTTTTTGTTTAAAAATCTAATTAATAAATTTTTGATATATTTTCTTTATTAATTATAATTTTAATTTTTTAAATAATAAAAAAAATTAATTTCATAATTTTATTTAAAATAATCTATTATTTTTCTTATTTTAAAAATAATATCTTAAGATTTTATTTTAAAATTATTATTTTTAATATAATAATTATAAATATTTATATAAAAAATTTTTAAAATAACTAAATTATATTTTTATTATAATAATTTAATTTTATTTTTACTTATTATAAACTAATTTTAAATAAAATATTATATTATAATATATTATATTAGAAAATAAATTAATTTTCTATTAATTAAAAAAATTAATCAAATATAAAATATTAATAACTAACTTTTTATCAAAGAATTTAATAATAATTATTATAAATTATTAAAATTATATATAAAGTAAAAATATATAATAATAAGAATATAATATTAAATAATAAAATATAAAATTAATTAATTTATAAAATAATAAATATTTATATTAAAAAAAATAAATTATAATATTATAATATAATTAAAATTATTATTAATAATACTTATTAAAAATAATATTAAAATTATATAATTAAAAAGCAAGTTTATTTCTAAATATATTTAATAAAAAAGTAATAATATTAATAAATAACAAAAAAATTAATTAATTATTTTTATATAATATTTTAAAAAATTAATTTAAAATATAAAATATTATTTTTTAAATTATCAAGTAGATCAATTTGTCTATTTTTGATTAGTTTTATATAATTATAAAAGATTTTATAAATATATATTTATTTTTTCTTATATAAATCTTTAAGTATATTATCTTTTTAATCATTCTATAATTTTTTTCTCATAATTCTTTTAATAAAAATCTAAATTTTCTTCCTCTAAAAATAACTTTTAAAGAATAATATATTTGATTAATAAATAAAAAAATTAAATATGAAATATAAAATATTATATTAAAATTAACTTTAATATATATTATATAATATATTATTCTATTATAATAATAGTTAGAATTACTTTATTGATTTTCATATTTTAAAATAAAAAAAATTAATAATAATAGCTTTTTTTTTATTAAAAATTATATACAGTGATAATCAAAAATAATATAATACTTAAATTTTTTACTAATTATAATTAGTAAAATATGTATTTTTTCTTACATATAAAAATTTTTAATTTTACTAACAAATATTTTTTATTTT